CTCCTCCTCCTCCTCCTCCTCCTCCTCCTCCTCCTCCTCGCCCCTCCCGAGCCGGGGTGGGAGCGGCGGCAGCTGGAAGGGAAGGGATGAGGTCATCCTCTCCCTCGGAGTCAGCTGGTGGAGGAGAGGAAGCGGGAGGAGGGAGCGCGCGCGAGGGGAGGAGAGGAATGTGCAGGTCCGAGGAGCGCCGCGGCGGCCGCTGCTACTCCTGCTGCTGGCGGCCGCCGCTCGTGCGGCAGCCGCGGGGCCAAGACGGCGAAGAGCGCGGGCGGCGGGCAGGGGCGCGCGCAGGGCTCTGCAAGCAGCTGGGCTCGGCGCAGGCAGCCAGGCGGCGCTCCTGCCGGCCCCAGGCGCGCTGCTAGCCCGGCCCATCGCCCAGCACGGCGGGCGGCGGGTGGCGGCAGGCGGCGGGCTAGCGGGCGCAGGAACGGGAGGAAGAGCTGCCCCGCCGGGGAGGGCAGCCGGGCGAGGCCAGAGGTGGCGGGAGGAGACCGCAGAAAAGGTGTCAGATAAAGGAGGACTCCCTTCCGCTCTGGAGGTATCATGGCCGCTAAGTCAGACGGGAGGCTGAAAATGAAGAAGAGCAGCGACGTGGCGTTCACCCCGCTGCAGAACTCGGACCACTCGGGCTCGGTGCAAGGATTAGCGCCAGGTTTGCCGTCTGGATCAGGAGCCGAGGACGAGGAGGCGGCCGGGGGCGGCTGCTGCCCGGATGGCAGCGGTTGCTCGCGCTGCTGCTGCTGTTGCGCGGGGAGCGGCGGTTCCGGCGGCTCCGGCGGCCCGGGCGGCCCGGGCGGCGGGGCAGGCTCGGCGGCGCTGTGCCTGCGCCTGGGCAGGGAGCAGCGGCGCTACTCGCTGTGGGATTGCCTCTGGATCCTGGCTGCCGTGGCCGTGTACTTCGCGGACGTGGGCACGGACATCTGGCTGGCCGTGGACTACTACTTGCGCGGCCAGCGCTGGTGGTTCGGGCTCACGCTCTTCTTCGTGGTGCTGGGCTCCCTTTCTGTGCAAGTGTTCAGCTTCCGCTGGTTCGTGCATGATTTCAGCACCGAGGACAGCGCCACGACCTCTGCCTCCAGCTGCCAGCAGCCAGGAGCTGATTGCAAGACAGTGGTCGGTGGAGGGTCTGCAGCGGGGGAGGGCGAGGCTCGTCCTTCCACGCCGCAAAGGCAAGCATCCAACGCCAGCAAGAGCAACATCGCCGCCACCAACAGCGGCAGCAACAGCAGCGGGGCCACCAGGGCTAGCGGCAAACACAGGTCTGCGTCCTGCTCCTTCTGCATCTGGCTCCTGCAGTCACTCATCCACATCTTGCAGCTCGGGCAAATCTGGAGGTACCGTATCAGGGTGGGGGTCGAGGGAGGTTGCAGCTGCTCCTACATGTCCACCGCTTTGCTTTTGCACGAAATCGTTTGGGGTTACTGTGGTGGGGCCCCAGTCACACTCTCAGTGTTGTTGTTGTTGTTTTTTTTTTTTTTAATTGGGGCTCACTTTTTCTTTTCTTTCTTTTTCTCTCTCCCTTTCTCTTTCCCTTTTCTTCCTCCCTCCCTTCTTTCCTTCCTTCTTTCCTCTTTTAATCCCAACTCACCTTAGGTGGGAGGGAATTGAAAAACCACAAAAGGACATGAAAGTGATTGTGGTCCCCTCACTAGCTTCTCTTTATGTCACAGCTCCTTACAGTTCTTAGTGACATTCTTTCAGTGAGTAGTAGAGGATTCCTGTAACACTTTCTAAAAATCATTTTTTTTTATTATATAGAATAGGTGGTGTGTGTTGCACTCTGGATAGTTTCTTTTGTTCTGGGGAGGGCGTACAGTTTCAAATTGAATAGAAATTGTCACTGCTCAAAAGTACTCACACTTTAATGCTAGAGAAGTACTCAAAGTAGTGTTAATAAATAAACATCTGAATTGTCATGTATGTAAAATAATGAAAATAGATCAGATATTATACATCCTGTATTTATATCTTCAAGCACAAATGATCAGGCCTTTGGGGATTCAGACTTACATAGTAAACTTCTGATTACTTTGCATTATCTCATATCTACTCTCTTTTGTAATTGAAAACCTTTGGGAAAGGGGTAGCACACTGGGTAAACTTTATTCCTGCTTGGCATTTTCTTTGGCTGAATTGCTGCTTGTCATCTGATCTACCAAGTTTCTTTACTTAGATAACACTTCCACTTACACACTGAAATACAAGGCTAAACTTGTTGGACAGAGAAAACCATCAAGCAACCACTGCATGGACTTAGGAATGTAATGAGACAATATACTCAGAAATGGGTTCTTTTTATGTGTTTAGATGCTTTTGGAATCAATGTTTAAACATACAAAAATATGTGTCTACAAAAATATAGACTAACACCCTAGAGATTCTCAGTTTTAAAATGACTTAGTAAATATATAGTGTGATATGTGGAAACTTCTTAGAAGATTCATTGATATTGGGTTGCATTCTGCAGAATTTCATGTGCAGTTTTTTTTTTTTTTTTAGGAAAAAAGACATTGTAAGTCACTGATTAGGCTGAAGTATCCCATGAAGAAACCACTCAGAGAATCTGTGGAATAGATCCACAGACTTCTTTTTCTGTCTGGTAAACCATAGTGTCTTCAGCTGAGAAGACCAAGTGCAATCATTTCACCACTTTTCATGGGACCAATATGTGTGAAGCAGGTTGAGCATTGCAATAGCCCAAGGTATGGCTCTAGAGCAGATTCTTCCTGGGAAAGTTAAACACCATGTGCTGTCAGGGAAACTGATGCTGGAAGCCCCATATTTCAGATCAATGGAACTTTCTGAAATGTCTGTTAACTGCAATTGCTCTATATCCCACCGATGACTACTGAAAGACTTGTAATTTTCTTTTTAAATGTTTGAGAAAGAACTAGAATAGTTATATCTAATTGCTGAAGTTACTTAGTGGCTAAAATGTATATAATTAGTAATTTTAATCTAATAATGTAGCATATACAACTTACCATTCAATTTGGTAACTTTTACAAACATTTTACAAGATTTAGAAATTACTTTTAATTATCTTTAAGGTTTTTATATATCTGAATAATGACACTTCTCAGTTCTATTTGTTGAAAAACTATAAACATCGCCTACAGATTGATACTTTCTGAAAAAAAAAGTGATATCAAACTCAGTGAACTGAAGAAGTTGTTTTAATTGTAGTGCTTATTAAACTTTCTAATTTAGACATTTCTATGATTGATAGTGATGCTTCATTTCTTCAGGAAATCATATTCAGAAAGTGACAAATAACTGGGAAACCATGAAGGCCAAAATATCTCAATAAGACAATAGCCACTGGGTCAATGGACTTTACAGCAAAGCCCAGGGATGGTGAGGGACAGAAGGTTAAGGCTAAAAGCAGAAAGAATATCACAGACTGTCAGACAAGTACATTAGCTGCCCTAACCCTTGGAGAAACACATGACTCCTTTTTGGTTAAGCAGTCCTTAGAGATTTTGAGGTTTACTTTGATAACAGGATGATCTGGGTGGAAATGCTCCTGTTGGAAATATCAGATCTCTTTGTCATCATTCAAAATGAGATGTACCATGTGAAATCTGAATTGTCATCTGATCTGTTATTTGGTTTGGGTTAAGATATTTGAGGAGTCCCATGGTATCCTGGAAGAGGCATATAATCCCAAACTAGATGGCTTTATTTTTCTGAAAATATGCTTTCAAAAACACTTTAACCTAATGAAGAATATTGTAAAGGAATAAGAAAGATTGCAGAATTTAATACTCAAATGCTTTCTGATGTTCCAGTTTCTCTGAGTATTTGAACATCTGAGTGGAGCTTTGTGGTTCTATTCAAAGGTAGATTATATTACCTTTGATAATAAGTGGTAAGAAGGGACTTATCTAAGATAATTGTATTAGACATGGTACAATATTCTAGATGGCCATGCATCCTTAAATTAGAAGCAGCCCTGGCCTTTTCCAGCTTTACTTTTTGATACGTTCTACCCAAATATTGCAACAACACCTGCGTACTGGTTAGTTCAAAGCTCAGAGATCATTTTTCAAGTTTTCACATGATACTTCCTTGAACTTTAGCTAGGTTGCTAACTATTCATTGTATTTCCATGATTGTAGTTATTTTAGAGAAGGGTTAGGGTTAAAAGCTTTCTGTAGATAAAATCTTTTGAAATAGCATCAAAGTGTTTTCTTATTCAGAAACAAGCATTTGAAACATTGTAGGCAAGATTTGCATGCATTTATACATGTATTACAAATGAAACTGCTAAAAACAATGATACATGTTCATTTTAATTAAAGTTTACTAATGGGAAATTAATGGCAGCTTTTAGAGTCACAGGAGGTAATACTGGGAAAGAACCATTAGAAATAATGAAGTGAACTTTTCTACTATGTGGAAAAGAGCAATTGTGGCTTTAAAGGAACTGTGCCTACAAATGAACAAGAGAGTGTTTTCTTCCTTATTATTCTTTTCCTATTATTTCAGAAATGACTAAGAATGTAGCTCAGCCAATGAGAATCACAAATGGCACATCTAGCTATGCTGGTAGTAATGTGGTTTTCAAGGAAACATTGTTCTCCAGCATTCCCAAACCTGAACAAAAACAATGATGATAATGTTATTAAACAATTTGAAAATCTTTATGTGTTTACCATAACCTGAATGGAAATTATTAATACCTCTCTATATAGGAAAACTGTCTCAGAGAGATAAGTATGTTTCCTAGGGTCACTTATCTGCTGCTTGGTATATCTAGCATTCAGACTTCTATTACTCTAAAATCTGTGTTCTTTGTGGATTGGTTGATTAACTCTCTGCACCCACTTTGATGATAATTATAACAATATGTAAAAATATCATTTTCATTCATTGGGGTGACAAGGTAGGAAAAGGATCTGCAGTTTAGATAGACTAGGGGATCTTTCCAAAAGCACACCACTAGATTAAGAGACTTGAGCTCATGTTGTCTAAGTCTTGTGTTCCTCTTACTACACCCTTGGGCATTCTTGGATTAAATTAAATCCCAGATGATTAGCATGATCCCAAGGTTCCCTTAATGATGAAGCAGCACAAGGGATGTGAATATGCAAATATTATTTGCAAATGATGACAGTTCTAGAGATGAGGAAGATGTAGGTCACACCTAAAATTCTAAGGCATGTGCTTTACTGATCAGAAGTTAGTCCCGAATTCTGGCAAAATTGATTCCATTTTCTGGCTAACTGAATGACTAATTTCTGTGTACTTGTGTTCTTTCTTTCTGGATATTGATTATTTTATTTATTCAATCCATACTGAATGCCTATTATGTGCAAAGCACTGTTCTAGTTACTAATTATCCTAAGATGAATGAAATACACATCTTTTCAATATATCTGCTGTTTAGTGAGGAAGACAGAATATTTATACAGATAATTTCAGTATAAGGATAAGTGCTATGATAGAAACAGGAAACTCAAACCACCTTGGCCATTCATCTGGGGCAAGAGATGTCTGTACATACGTTTGCATGATGAGAAAATATCTGAATAAAAGAGCCTACTCACTTTGGAGACTTGAATACAACAATCTATCAGGGGCATAAAGAGCAAGGCAAACTCACTATGTACCCAAACATGGAGTGAGGGAGAGTAGTCAGAGAAGAGAATGAGTAATTCCATTTGCTAGATAATAGAAGGGCCTGAGATTCTATTCTGAAGACAATTGAAAAGATTATAAAGGGTGAGCATTTACAAAAGCGTTACCACATTGTTTTACTCATTGGAAGAGCTCAAAATTGAAATATAGTTGTTTCATATACATATTTATATTTGTTTCATTTATATTTCATATAAAGTATATAAAATTCTCTATTTCTGTTTATTTCTCTGATGGCTAAATTTTTCTTTCTCAAGCTCAAAGATATGTATTTATAGACTGCTCCTGCAGACCTGCTGGCAAATCAGAATAAATCATTATGATTGCAACTCGATGACATTTTCTAAAGTATTTGAACATGCTTATTGATAACAGCATCATGTTCCCTCCCATTTACTCATTTGATTTTAGCTTTAAAGCACATGGATAGTATTACCTTAACTAATTGTAGTTGCTGGTTGCTTTTCAGAATATGAGCACAATTAAAGTTTATAGCACTGGGTTATCCTCTCATGTCTAGAACATAATATTTCAAACCAGATCATCAGCTTATCAGCAAATTTCCCACAGGTTGTTTGTGACTCCTGCTCTTAATAGTAGTCTATTCCCTGGAGAGTCAAAGCCCTGGGAGACTATAGGCGAGCACGCGCTGGGCTCTCAGTGTCCCAGCACGCGCTCCTGGGCAGTGAAG